AGTAATTGACCTGAGCAAACTAGAATTTGACTTGAACCTACCTGGATGCCCCCTAGAGACTTCACCCTTGCTATTCTGAAATTAAGGACCAGCAGGACAAACAGAAATGGCACAGCACTCCACTTGAGTCGCTGAGGCCAAGGTCCCTCCTCACTAAGTCTCCATTTCCACTCTGGAACTGGCTGAGACCCCTGTCTCTAACAGACATACATCCAGGTCCAGAATGAACTCCTGGGTTTGGTGTTTCTTGAATCCATGTTGGGCGCTGATTTCCCATATGGGAAATTCCTCAAAGATATTAGAAGCTCAGAAGCTCTCAGTGGCTGAGTCCACCACAAGTCATAGGAAGCTCCTGAAGAGGTGCAGGACTTTTCAGCTGATATCTTAACACATTCATTGACAAGCAGCAGTGAATGTGTCAGGGAACACCTGCCTGACCTGGCCCCACCCAGCCTGTGAGGTCTCAGTGGGATTGCTCAGCACACAGCCATAAGTGATACAATGGTCTGTATATTACGGTGTGTGTAAGCAGTTAACCCAGAAGTTACTGCTTACCCATGTGACTATATGTATCTCGTAATTACATATGGCTCGGGGTTCAGGGCTATTGCTGTTATGGAAATGGGAAATTCCCATTTTTAGCCTCTTATGGCCTCTGTACAGTATATTATCACATGACATGTATATAAATAACAACTTAACCAACAACAATCACCAAAATCCACACTTTGTTAATGTCATTGTAAAGACAACTGTTAAACCTCTGTTACGTTGTCATGGGGATTTGCCGGTGTAACATAAACGAGCCAAATCCCGCGATTCTACTACCCTCAGCAAGCACCTCACATCCATCACATGTAGCCCATATCCACTCACACTCCTTACACATATTTCCTATTTTTCCTAATTTTTCTGATTTCATTTCCGGTGTCTAGAGCCCGATGTTTCCGTTTTCTTATTGTCATGTGATACTCTTTCCTTATTTATCTATCGGACTCTTCCGTGACCCGCTGTACAGTTTGGTAGAGAGTATCAGCACCACACTTGACTGGACCAATATACCCCACTTCAGACCTGACTTGTAGTGAGATCCTTATTCCCCCCCTCTTTCCTGTCGCGAGTCTAGTTGGATAGACCCATTACAACGTTAACTGTAACACTATTTCAATGTCATGGCCACTCCCTGCACCCAGACGCTATAGAAATGGGCCAATTAGGCCCCATTTTTATAACAATTGCCCTGACATTCTCCCCCCTTGCATTGCATTTGCGATGCATACATGGTTAATGATGAAGAGAATTAAAAAAAAAAGAAAAAAGGAAGTTACATTGAGTTTGAAAATATCAATGAGTGTTTTATTATTGCCACTTTAAAGTGGATGATTTGTACATGTTGGCAAGAGAAATTGAGGGAATGAATGGGTGTGGGGCTGTCACTTTGAAGTGAATAGCGATACATGGGTATCGTGAGGGGGAAAAATGATCAAGAGAAGAAGTTTTTTTTTTTTTTGAAAATAAATTTCATCCCAAGGACTATATGTCCTTGGTATTCCTCCTCACTTGTTCCATGATGATTCGTGTGTAAATGGTGTTTACACACGAGTGGTGGTGGATGTGGTTTTGGGCAGAGTAGAAGTTTCTGCAATTGTTACTTGCAGTTCCTCACATACAATATTGTGTGCAGGGCCTTGAGTTGGGGGAAGGTGTTTTCATGGGTGCCTCAATGGCATATTACTGTGTCACTTTCCCTTTTCTCAAGGGTAGAGTTATTGCCCCGGAGGAGGGTTTTCCTCCAGGTTCTTCATCTGGACATCTGATTACTGCATTGGATGCGATGACATAGCCTGAGCTATGGTGTCAAGCTGTGGGCATGATGAGGTGGGTGCTGTAGGAGAAATAACGGTCACACTATGGAAACCCATTATGGAAATATGCCAGATAAATCACAAAACCTTATACGACAAGTAGATATGAGAAAATAGAAGGACCTGAATTTTAATGAATTTTTACGAATTTTTACGAATTATTATGACTATACATGATAAATTGAAAGAAAGGAAATTAGCAAAAATACTTCAAGCTTAGCATCAACAAGATGGAATTCTCGGGGGAATTTATAGCAAATATTAAACAAAGAATTAGGACAATCGACCAAGATTTGACTATAAAAACAATCAGAGAAGTAAGAAAATAGAATATTATTTTTCTCAAGCATTTCTGGTTGTCACTCCAGCACGAAAAAGTGATATACAGTTAAGATTGCCACTGTAGTAAAAGGCAGCAATTAAGGAGAGAAATATTAAGTAGATATTTCAACAGGAGAGCTGGTTAACACTCCAGATTTCAAAGTGTAAACACAAAACAGTTATCTTGCTACTGTTAAAACAAGCAATAAAATAAGACAAAATAAAAAAAGACTCAATGGACACTCCAGACACAATCCAAATCCATTAACTGAGTAGAATCTTTGAAACTTCACCAAGTAGAAGATTTAATTCAACATCAGCAAAAGTCCGTTATGCTCCGGAGCATCAAGAGTGGCTGGAGCATGTGGGAGACAAAACAGCAGATTGGGCACTCCTGGAGCCAATAGTGTTCTCCTGGGAGGGGGTTCAGGAGCAGCTGGGAGTGGTGAGGAGTATGTAAGCAGTGGGAGGAAAATTTTGGTCTCTAAAAAGTTGAAAAAAAAAATTTCGGGAAAAATCAAAAAAAAAAATCAGGAACTATAGTGCCTTTAAAGTGCTTTCAGGACATATAATTATTTGCAAAATTGAGGAAGAAATGATGGAGAAAAATGGAAAATACTTTCGGAGACCCGAGAAATAATGAGAACTGAATTGATGGGAAAGTCTGAAAATTGAATAGGAAAGTGAGGGGAAGCCTTGTAAGCATTGTTATTTTCTGCTGTTCTGATTTTTCCTGATTGTTCTTGGTCTCACTCCCAGCTGCTCCTGGACACTCCCAGGAGCTTTCAGGAGCTTCCAGGAGTATTGAGGAGCAGCTGGGAATGAGACCAAGAAGAATCGGGAAAAATCAGAACAGCAGAAAATAACAATGCTACAAGGCTTCCCCTCACTTTCCTATTCAATTTTCAGACTTTCCCATCAATTCAGTTCTTGGGTCTCCAAAAGTATTTTCCATTAGCTGCTCCTGGACCCTCCCAGGAGCTTCCAGGAGTATCCAGGAGTATCCAGTAGCAGCTGGGAGTGAGACCAAGAACAATCAGGAAAAATTAGATCAGCAGAAAATAACAATGCTACAAGGCTTCCCCTCACTTCCCTATTCAATTTTCAGACTTTCCCATCAATTCAGTTCTCATTATTTCTCGGGTCTCCGAAAGTATTTTCCATTTTTCTCCATCATTTCTTCCTCGATTTTGCAAATAATTATATATCCTGAAAGCACTTCAAAGGCACTACAGTTCCTGAATTTTTTTTGATTTTTTCCCTAATTATTTTTTTCAACTTTTTAGAAGTCCCTATTTTTCAAATTTTCCTCATTTCCCTCTATATCCCCCCCTCATTCCCCCTCATCCCCCCCCTCATTCCCCCCCCCTCATTCTCCCCTCATTCTCCCCCTCATTTCCCCCTCATTTCCCCCCCTCATTCTCCCCCATTTCCCCCTCCCCCATATTCTGCCAGCCCGAAAGTGATTAAGTTGCCAGATTAATCATATATCAGGCCATAAATTTTGATTGTGTATTGGTGAGTCTCAGTGTCCTTGATATATAGTATAGTGTTTGATCTAAATGTTAAGCAGTGTCTTGTTGTGTTAGTCTTGTGGTAGGAGGTATTCATGGGGGATCTTCCCTCTTTTTTTCCTTTTCATTTTCAAATGCTCCAGGAGCTCCCAGAAGCTTCTCACCCCTATACACTTTGAAGCATTTAAATTGTATTTACTGGATATGTTTGTGCACAAAGCAATGCTCCAGGCCCTCCTGGGAGTGCCCTGGAGTACCTAGCCAACTCCGGAGGAAATGGGCTGTTCCTGGACCGGCCAATCTCCTCCTGATTCTCCCAGTGCTCTCAATACTCCGGAGCACTCAGGAGCATAACAATTTTTTGCTGATGAAGTTAAATTCCAAATTAAACAATGCTACACAGAATTACATCTAGACAAATTAATTTCAATAAAGAAACAGCTCCGCAGGGCTCGGTTTATCTGTAAGTCAATTCCCAGAAATTTTAGACTAACCCATAAAAATAGAATTAGCCAAAACACTCGGATTGGTACTATATTTACAACAAATAATACTAGTACACTTCCCCATCCTAACTAAAGAACCAGGGAACAGCTTGGTGGTGGTCTTGTTTGAACCTCCCAACTGACCTTCCTTCATTCTCTCCTTCAGCGCTTCCTGGGTGGGAGTGGGTTGTTGTGTTCCCAAGCCACTTGGCTTGGGTGTGGAGTATGGTAAGTTTACCGTTCTTCCCATGGGGAAGGGTGGTCACTGGCTCATTTGTCCAGTGTGGAGACTTGCATCTCTCTCTTGGTACTTGGAAGCCTTCGCTTCCTGCCCTGCAGCTTTTGCAGCACATTCCTCAGGAGTCCTGAGTGGTGGGAACTGGGACTTTACATAGGCAGCTTTGCCTAGACTCTCCCAGGATATCCTTCCCCTGTTCTCTGGGGAATTGTACTCCTCCACGAGTTTTGCGATACTTGGGAGTCCCAAGAAATATTTCTCGGTTTCCTTCGCTTTTTCATGAAGGATTTTGTGTACCTTGCTGCTTTTAAAGGTGGCTTTGGCCTGTTTGTACCAGTATACGAATTCTTTTCCACTCACACTTGTCCACCAAGCATATGCGGTGTCATGTGCCACCTCTGACCCTGTTAGACCTGGGCAAGGGTGGACAATTCCGGAGGGGAACCAGAGACTTAGCAAGGAGGGACCTTGGCCTCGGCAACTCATGCAGAGTGCTGTGCCATTGCTGTTTGTCCATTTGGTCCTTAATTTCAGAGGCAGTGAGCAGGAAGTCTCTAGGGGGCAATTCTGGTCGATTTTAGACTGAGGGCCTAAAATGAGTATGTACAAGTGCCTGTATATAATGGAGAGACGAAAGCACAAGGAAATCCACATCAGAACAAAGGCGTCTGAACAGGGACAAAGGGATGATGGAAGTGGAGCTGTACTGAAGGTCATGGGTTAGACTCTGTGGTACATCCGAAAGGAGATAGGGAGGGCGAACCACTCCACCAAATCCGACGATCTTGGACTCGTCAGAACCACCTCCACAGTCTCTACAACTCCTATTATTACCACGACTCACCAATCCTAGTCCCTGATGCAGTAGGGGGTGAAATGTGTGATAAGTGTTGGTTTGACCTGCACGGACTTGTCCCCACAACAATGTCTCTGGAAATGTTTCCAGAATTTCATAAGGCCCTATATACAGGGGCTTTAGTTTGCCTGCCCTTCCTTTGGGTAGGTTCAACTTATCCATGGATAAATATGCAAACTCACCTTTTCTCAAAGGCAGGTTCAGGTGTCTTTTCTTATTTGCCTGGATCGTTTGGGCAGTGTGATTGTGTATTATCATGTCATGTGCTGCCATGAGGTTTTCCTTTGCCTTTTGGGCGAAGTCGTTCACTCCTGGGTAGTCCGAGGGTGGTGCTGATAGGCACATCTTTGGCATGTGGCCATAGATTAATTTAAATGGGGCAATCATATCCCAAGCTTGTTGGGAATGGACCTGTGAAGTCCATGGCTATTGATGACCACAGTGTTTCCAGGGTTGGGAGTGGGTGAAGCAGTCCAGGATTTCTCCTGGTGCTTTTCTTTGTTGTATGACAAGTTCTGCAAGACCTGCAGAACTTGTGGGTGTCCTTCCTCATTGACTTCCACCAGAAGTATTGATGGAGGGTTTCCACTGTTTTCTTGGATCCTAAGTGTCCAAGTGTTTCATGGATGTTTTCAAGGATTATTCCTTGAATGGACTTCCTTTCATAGTTCCCTTTTGGGACTACTATTTGGGTTGTCCCTCCTTCTCCAAGTCGGGTTATCAGCCCATCTTTTATGGAGAAGTTTTTGAAATTCCTGGGGTTCTCTATGATTTCCTGGTGGATCTGGCTTTGCATGTATCCAGATTTTATTGCCTCAATGAGGTCTTTTCCTTCAAATTGTTTTCGAAGGTTCTCTTCTGGAATTATAATTTCTTCCAGGTTTTGGGCGCTCCCCCCTAGAGCTTCCTCTAGGGTATTTCTCCTGTGTATTGCTGCGAGTCTCTTTTCCTCTGAGTTTTTACTCAGAGTACTGCTTAGCAGCAGTTCTTCACATTACTCGACTCTGTCAGGGATGATGTCTTCTGCATTTTTATCCAGATGGATATCCACCAACACACAGTCATCAAAATGCAGATCCTCATCTGTTGATGAGTCATAGTACTGTGAGAGTGTGTCTGCCACTTTGTTCTTGTGGCCTTCCATGTATTTTATTTCACAATTAAAGCTTGTGAAGAAGGCTTGCCATCTCAGGTGTCTACCTGAGTTGTGGTTTTTCACTTTGAAATATTCCAAAGCTTTGTGATCTGTGATTACTGTGAATTCATGGCCTCCCATGAGATCATCTTGCCATCTCATGAGTGCCTCAAGGATGCCAAGTGCCTCAAGTTTGTAGGCGAAGTACCTACATTTTGTGTTGGTAAACTTCTTGGACATGAATGCAGCCAGGCAGCAGGTCTGCCACTTTTGCCTTGTCCAATTAGTGCACCCATGCTCGCTGGGCATGCATCTGTTATGACCCAGATGTGGAGTTTACTCCTCTCTTCTTCTGAGAGGTTTTCCAGTGGATTCCATTGGATGGGCTTCAGAATCGGAGCCCTGCATGCAAGACGTTTAATCTTGTCAAAGCATTTCTGGTGGAGTGGTGTCCACCTGAATGTCTGCTTGTTGGAGCAGATTGTTTGCAGTGGCCCTGTGTAGCCACTGACATTCAGCATGAATATCGACAGATATTCTACCATTCCCAGGAATCGTAGGACTCCTGTGTGGTCTACTGGCTCTTGCCAGTTGTGGATTTTCTCCATTTTGTCCACTTGAGTGTGGATGCCTTGTTCATCCACACAGCTTCCTAGAACATCTAGGATTGGAGCGAATGGCTGGAATTTCTTCCAGCTTATATAGAACTTTGCCCCCTTGAGGCGAGTAAACAACCACAATAATGCTTTATTGTGGTTCTCTGTTACGGATACGGAGTCTCCAACGACCATATCTGTCGCATGGTCAAAGACTTCCCCTCTCTATCGTTCCTCCCCTCTTTCTCCCTTCTGCCCTCTATCCCGATACCCTATCCTCCTTACCCGTTCTACCCCTTTCCCCCCTCGTGCAAAGCTTTCCCCATTGGGGTTTTGGTGCTGGCTGAGGTTATTTGTGTTTCGTGGGATTTCCCACGACCTTACCATTTGTAGATAGTCACACGTCTTGTATGGAAACCACCAAAGGCGGTTCCCGCTAACTAACAACTGCTCTACAACTGTCTCATGTACCATCTTCTGTAACAACCCTCCCTGTGACTCAACTGAACCCATGTGACTGTTCAACTCTCAACATGTCTTATAAGTCTGGTTATATCGAGTCCTCTAACGGCCCTCGCCGCGAGAACTCAAGGTCGAGAGTTGAAGACTCTCGACATGTGTATCGTCCTATCGAATCTGTACCCTATGGGTCCTCATCACTCCGCTCTCCCCCCAGTACTCAACATACGACGTCACCTCACGATCATGGAAATCATGAATACTTTGAGGCCCACCTTCCCATGATGCCAGCACGTTTGCTATGCGAACGCCAAGTCGCCGCCCATCCACCGTCTGTTCCCTCCTTCGCCAGTCATCATGTTTCCCTGCCAACAGTACGTTCCCTTTGGGAATGCCAAGTCACTGAAGGCCCTACTAGTCAGTCCTCATTGCACGCTTATGACATCAACCCGCTACCGGTACGTTCGCACTGCGAACGCCAAGTACCCGATGGCAACTATATGAAGTTCTCACCCATCTCACAAGTCGCAACCTCGCACACGGTACGCTCCATTGAGGAGCGCCAAGTACCCATGGCTGACCCGTCCGTCCTGGCATCTCCGACTACCTACCATCAATCCCTTAATAGCTCACTACATCACCAATCGCGATCGATGGGAATTCGATCGTCCACCCCCAGGCAAGACTGGGATCACTCATCGATTACATATCCTGTTATGGTACAGACCAGATATGACCTCACTCATCCCACTATAAGAATGGATCGAGGAATGGGGAATTTCCCCCATCCCCGTAACAATGGTGCTTCCCAAAAGGGCAAGGCCAAGAGGGGAAGGAGTGGAGTGGGTTGTGGGGAATGACAGCTGACTAATGTGGAAAGGAAGCAGCCATCTAAATAAGGAGGAAGCAACAAGAGGATCAAATGACACCATACAGTAGAGACTGCAGGGTCCGGAGTAAGTTCTGGAGGTCCAGAGTTGGAAGTCAAAGTCCGGAATATTGGCAAGATGTAATAAATGAAATGCAATAAGGAATACAAGGAGATAAGATGGAGGAGGAGGTCAAAGTCCAGAGGCAGAGATGTGACTGGAGTTCCAGAGGTGGAGGTGCGATGGGGTTCCAGTACAGGAGTCCAGAGCCAGAGGTGTGGAGCATCAAGCTCTGGTCTGGAAGGTATGAGGTTGGGATTGGACCTGGAGTAAACCAGAGTTGGACCAGAGGTAGTGTTGGACATTGTGTTGGAGCCAGAGGTAGAGTGGGCTCTCAACAACCAACAAGGGGAGGAGGAGGTGGAGGATGTGGAGTTCTGGAGGAGGAGATGGAGGTCCAGAATCAGGAGTGGAGGTCCAGAGTTGTATGGATAAGACAGTAATATTGGGTAGTGTCATATCCCAGATCTTCTGCCTCCCCCTGCTCTATCCATACATGACTCCTATGACCTCCACCAGCCCTCCCAATCTCTCTCCACTGCCTCCAGTCGATGCCAACAACCCTAGGACTACCTCCTCTTTTGACTCTCTCCCACTCTGCCACCCACCTACGTCTGCAGCACCTCCGGACCTCTACCATCATACCTCCACCTCCTCAGACCCCTTGTTCAAAGAAAATGGGCTTGCTCATTGTTGATGAATCCCATCTTGTCATTCCATCCCCCTTCCTACCTCCGGTCTTCACACCTCCAGTACCTCCTCATTCCTATCTTACCTCTGGTATCGATAATCTTATTGTTTTATCATTTGGTATTTTCTACAACCCCAACCTTCCAGATTACAACTTCCGGGCTCCAGACCTTTCTGGATGCCTCTTCTCTGTAGTTCCCTGCTTGTTCATAGACACTTCCAGACCTTGCCATTTAGTTGGCTTTTATTTCTCTCACTCCACAAAACTTCAGACATAATTCGGGCTTTTTGCCTATTCCTATTTGTCTTGTGGACTTCTTCTATTTACTTCCCCTTCCCCTTGGTAACCTTTGTTTACCTTCGGATCCAACTGTTTTCCGCTATATGTACATGCATACCTGTCAGGGATGCATCCAGGGTCGAGGTGGTCCAGGCATAGCGTCCGGTGCTAAGGACCTCACAGGGGGTAGATCGGGCGTGCGTACTGGCAGGCCTGATGTGGGACAGTGATCCCTGGCCACTTAGACTGAAGTAGGAATGTTGAGTTATTATTCAGAAGGGAAACTATGCTACTTACCTGAAGTGGGAATGTTGAGAAGAAGGTTACTTCTTTGGTTCCCACCCCAGGCGTGTTTATATACATGCGGCTTGGGTCACATGAGGTCTGTCATGTCACCCCGCATACAGCCATGGTCACCCAGGTGTCCCCGTGGGGGATCCTTAGGGCGTATGCCACACATGCACACTAGGTTGCACCCTAGAGCCGTCTGGGGTCGTCCAGGGCTAGGCATGTCTTGTGCATGTCATGGGCGGGTCAATAATACATAGATATAAGGGAAAGGTCGTCCATGTGAAATAGAAATAGAAATAGAAATAGAAATAGAAGTGGAAGAGGGATAGAGGAGGAAGGGATATGAAGGAAGGGTGCAGGGTGAGAGAAGGGGTACCGGGTGAGGTGGGCCCGGGTGGAGGTGGGTCAGGTGGGTGTGCCCTGACAGTACCCCTCTAGTAAATAGTTCCCCCAGTTACAATATAACCAGTCTCCAGCCCTCCAATGACCTCTTTCAGGATGTCTATTGCATCCCACTTGTCTGTCGCTCCTAAGGACCGAGTAACAGGCACTCCCAGAGATGCCTTGGTATAACACCCAACGAATTGCATGATGAACGATTGACCCTCACTAACACCTCCTCCATTAAGTAGTGAGGGGGGGGCCTCCAGCCCCCCTTCTGCTGGCGGCCTCAGTTCCTCTGTCGCCAGCTCCCCTGACAAATGGGGACAATGAGAACATACCAGGCACAGTGCTCCATTCTGAGTCACTGAAGCCGAGTCCCTTCAACACCCCATCACCCTCGGAGCTCCACCCCACCTCCAGTCTGTCTCCAACCCACCGTCAGATGACCCGGAACACCGAGCTCCACCTGACAGCATCGCCTGGATAGCAATCAACCTATCCCCTCCAAGGAAAGATGTTCATGACAGGTAGGTAGAAATATTAATAAACTTCTAAGATGAGGATAAAGGGTACTGGAGAAGGTACCAGAGATTGGAAGCGGAGGTGGACTGGAGGTATACTGGAGATGGCAGAGGTGAGTGAGAGGATGAACCAGAGGCGAACCGGAATGGTGGTGGAGTAGATCAGAGGTTGGGCGGAGTTGGTATGGATATGACAGCTGTGTACGCATCATTTTCCTCATTGTCAGGGCACACACCCTGACTAGCCCGAACCCGCTACACTTCCTGCATGCATTCCCATGCCGCATGCTCCGTGTGCCACATGCTCCGGCCCCAGATCCTGCCTTCATGTGACTTCCGGGTATCCCCGGAAGTTTTCCTGATATGGTGGCCACTGTGGGAAGATGAGAAGTTAGCTTCCTTCTCATCTCCTTACCCACAGTAGGTTGTGCCCTGGATAGGGCCAGTTACACCACAGGTTGTGGACCATAGGGGAGGGTCATGGGGACCTGGGAGTCGTCCCCTGACACTCATCCAAACCAACTTCATCTGGCTTGTGCCTCATGCCAGCTTGTATTTCGATGGGTATGTCATCGTTGTGCAAAGATGCTAGTATTGACTCATCGATTTCAACATCCCTGTACAATGGATTATAGTGAATCAACCATTGCAATGCCTGCAACACATTGTGGTGCCAAACTCGAAAAGTACTCTTCAGCCACTGCATTGGCAATTGGTCTTGACCCACATAGGTGACCATGATAATGGAGGCCAACACCCTGGTCAGCCATGGCATCTTCTTTCCTTCTACCATGGCCATGATCTCCTTCATGTCCATATCATAGCTTGTGACATTTCCTCTCATGCCCCTCTGAAGCATGGTTGGGTTGTGCCCACCACATGTCAGTGGATGCATCTTAAAGACAAAACTGCACAGATATATGAGAGTGATGAGCATTTGCTCAGGAATGGTGAGATGCTTGAGCACAGAATGCATGTTCCCCAGCCACATTCCATTACTGAGAGCATGCTGTGGCTTCTTGTTCTTTTTCCAATTGCACAGGCTGTCAGAGACCAGATCGAGACAAAGGATTTGTCTCCATGGCGGAGGGCTTCGGCCTCAGCGACTCAAGCCAGGAGCGCCGTGCCAAGTTACACATCCATGCCCTAATTTACTTACTGGCAACGAGAACTAAAGGGGGATCAACTCTAGTCGATTTTATCACTGAGGTGTAACCTATGTACAAGTTAAGTATATATAGTTACAGTGAGAGCGGGCCTGTGAATGGCAGGGCTGAGTGGAGCAGAGCTAATAGAGTTAAACATTACCTGACTGAATATTACTGACAAGTTGGGTTACGGGGTTAGCGGAATGGCAGGTGATAACCCAGAAATGGAAAGGAGGGATAGGCCTGAAGGTGGGCTTGCAGGGCAAGCAAGTGAATTGCCCAGCAGAGGCAGGAGTGTGCTAGCAGATGTCGGAGCTGTCCGGAAGCCTTTGGGGCTCCATACTTAGGGAGACATAGGTAATATATTGAAAAGAGGGGGTGGTGACCATCGAGGGAAGCAGAGGTGGTCCAGAAGGATCGGAGGTAGTGGAAGTCAATGGCCGTGGATGGATATGACAACACCCTGCAGACCCAGGCTTCCTGGAGAGGCTTCAGTTCACTACTGGAGCTCTCAACCCCTCTAGCTGAGCCCCATCTGCATTAGGATCTCGTCTCCCAGGTTTTGACACTCAACACTCAACCAATTTTGATGATTCTATGTGAATTGGAAAGCACCAAAGTGTGGCAATGTAACCATGCATGTTATGTAGGGTATAAATCAGTTAAAAAGTGTTCCAAATGAAGTAAATTAAAAATACCACCCAATAAAAAGCTGATGTATTCTTCAGATATCATCCAAGCCTTTGACACCAAATTTCCCATGGTCAAAAAGCCATGGTTATTTGGCTCACCAAAACATGGTGGGAGACTTTTCTAACACCCAAACATACATTGCTACATTGCCCCACTTTGGCACTTTCCAATGCACATTGAATTATCAAAAAAGTGATTTATTTCCAATTATTCCTAATTTCCTGAAATATCTCTCCCTAACTTATCCCAAAATTTCTGATGTTCCCCCTAATTTCCCCTGATTTTTTGGACATTCTCCTTTTTTAGAAAGTCCCCATTTTCTGAATTTTCCTCAATTTCCCCTGACTTTTTTTCAAGTTTTTAGAAACCCCCCAGTTCCCCCTCATTTTCCTCCCATTTTCCCCTTCATCCCCCCCTCAATTCCCCCCTTCAATTTTCCCCTCATTTCCCCCCCCCCCCCCAATTCCTCCTTAATTTTCTCCTCATTTCCCCCTCATTTCCCCACATTTTCCCTAAGTAATTTCAGATTAACTGCATTTATATCCCTAAATTTGGTCTATATATTGATTGGGCTACATACCCTTGGTGTACAGTGCCACATTGGTGCTGAAAGTTAAGCTGAGTTTGTTCAGTCCCTTGTATGGTAGGGACTTGGCTATGGCTAGTCACATGATACCATCATCAATGCTTTTAAATTTAAATTTTAATGTCAGATAAATTAAACACTCAGGGAGCTAATAGTTCCCTGTGTGCAAATACAGCTCTATGAGCTCTCAGAGAAGGGGACCTGCAATTTCAAAGTACTGAAGCTCTGAGAGCTCTCAGGCCTCCACATCCAGGTTTGCTGATGTTGGTCATTTGTGGTGACTCTATGCTCACTGTCTGCAAGAGCCCATCCAGAAGCTTATACAGTTGATGCAATCCAGTGCTTTGGACCATGCCTGGTGCCCACACACACTGCTGGAGGGTGATGCTCTTGTCATGTCTTCAGAAACCTTCCAATCTCTAGTCAATGAAAATGGACTAGTCTTGCTTGTAGGCACTCCAGGTAGTCACCCTCTGGACTACCACTGTCTATGCTCCCTGTCAACCAAGACTGGTGATGTCCAGTGCTTCAGTGCGTCCGTTCAACCACATATGCCCCATACAAATTGCTCTCCAGATTCCAAAACCTCTCAATCTGGCAAGGATGACCAACTGGCCTGGGAGCCCTTATGTCAGGTCATCCATGAAATTTTCAATTGGTGGACTTCATGACCATTGGTCATACATCAACTCAGGGGGGGTATTTGTCTACCAGTGGAATGGTATGCTTGCTTTTTGATACTCTCACATCATGCCTGAATACTCCCTTCAGTCTCCTTGACACTCTGGACAGTGTCATGTTCCAGTACCTGGAAGGCTGCAGTCTTCCAGATGATTATGCTGCTTGGAGGACTCCAATGTTGGCTGCCACAGGTTCTTACATGGCTCCTCATCAAGACCCTCATGGGGTTGGGACTATTTTGCATTGCAAGGCTGGCCACAAGCTACTTTTCTTCCCAATCAACACGTCCCAACCTCTGATTGTGACATTCAATGATATTGAGTCTGATGGTGCAATGGGGTTTGAGTACCTCTATTACCAACCTCATGAATACAGCCATTTCATCCTTTCCCCAGGGCAAACACTGTAAGTCATTTTCTTCGATAGTCTTCACAGTATTGATCATGTATTCTAGTGCATGGCTCCAGGGTTGGTCCAGTATGTCTTCCACTGTCCAAGCAAGAGGAAGGATGGGATCCATGCATAGGGGCACTCATTCATGGCTCATTCTTTCTCTCCCCTCACTGTATGACTTGGTCCCTTCATTCTAGTTGGGTGGACCATCATCAGCAATTGCAAGAGGGTGGTGAGACGCATAGTTGTGGAATGACCACTGCAATGCTCTTGGCATTTGTTATGGATTCCTATCAATGCCTGTCCTTGGGCCATTCACTGGTGGGTAACCACCCAAGGAAGTCTTTTCTGCCATGTTCATGGCCATTATGGATGATGCTGGACCGTCTATCATTGAAAATGCCCAGCACATCATTCGTCACTACAGCAAACTCCACCCAAGCGACTATGTGGTGTTTGCACATGAATTCCATAGAGTCAAGGCAGCTAATCTCTCTGACTGTAGGGCCACACAGAAAGAGGTTGAAACTCTTTGTCTGTCATATCCATACAATCCTGACCTCCGCTCTGGGCTCCCAGAACTCCGAAACTGACTCCGGAGCCCTACTTCCCTTCCGTCACCTTCTCCTTGCCAACTCCCAAGAGGTTATCCCACCTCCAGCTCTGACACCACCTTTGGTCTGACTCTGGAACATTCCAGGTCCAACCTCAACCTCGACACCTCCCAGATGTCAGGGACACGTCCGGGGTCAAGGGGGCCCGGGTATAGTGCCCGGTGTAATGGGTCTATCACCACTAGACTCGAGACAGAAGAGAGGGGGAGGGTTAGAGTGGTTGCATGCACAGGTTTGTTAACTTGGAGTGGATTCCACTACTCCTCACTGTCTAGCTAACTATACAGCTGGTCATGGTATCATGGAAGAATCCGAAAATGACAAATAAGGAAAGAACAATAAGAAAGGGAAACATTGGGCTCTAGTGACTAGAAATGGAATCAGAAAAATCAGGAAAAATAAGAAATATGCAGGAGAGAACATTGGCTAAGGGTGGTAAAATCGCGGGATTTGGCTTGTTTATGGTACACCAGCAAATCCCCATTACACTGGCACTGAGGACCTTGCGGGGGGTTGATCAGGCATGCGTACTGGCAGGCCCGATATGGGACAGCTGTCCCTGGCCACTTAGACTGAAGTGGAAAAGGTGAGAAGAAGGTTACTTCTTCAGTTCCCACTTCAGGTACATTTATGTACATGTGGCTTGAGTCACATGATGGATGCCACATCATCCTCGGAGACAACTGCAGTCATCTGGGTGTCCCCACAGGGGATCCCAAGGGCATCCAGTGCAGGTCTGCATGCTGGGCACAGCGGGGAGCCGTCTGGGGAGCCTGGGTTGGGCAGGTCAATAGTACATTGATACAAAGGAAAGTGGTCCGTGTAAATAGAAAGAATAAACAGGAGGGGAATGATGGGAAGAATGAAATAAAGAAAAGAGAGAAGGGAGAAGAGAGAAAGAAAGAGGAGGGAAGGAGGGAAGGAAAGGATGGGCAGCAGGGCAGCAGGTGAGGTGTGGCCAGGTGGGCCTGGGTGGGCCTGGGTCAGGTGGGTGTGCCCTGACACCAGACAAGCACACAACACCTATGCTCCCAACTCCGGACCTCTGCTCCGGAATCCTGTTTGCATCTCTGTCTCCAGAACCTCTGGTCTTAGCTCCAACCTTGGACTTTGACCCCACCTCCACTTATATCCATTGTATTGGTTAGCTCATTCCATTTAATTGCCTTTGCCAATATTCCTGAGTTTAACTTCCGAGTTCGGACTTTCCAGACTTACTTTGGACCTTGCAACTATTGCATTGCTCCATTCAATTCCGCTATTCTCCCTCATTCCTATTTGGGCTGCTGCTTCCTTTCTATTCAGTCAGCTGGCCATTCCCCACTCCCATCCTCCTTCCTTCCTCCTTGGGCCTTGGCCCTTCACTCCTCCTTTGGGAAACACCATTGAGTCAAACTGTCAGGGACACGTCTGGGGTGGAGAGGGCCTGGGGGTAATGCCTGGCACTGAGGCCGTCGCAGGGTGTGGAGCGGGCATGCATACTGGTGGGCCCAGTCCAGGACAAGGGTCCCTGGCCACTCAGACTGAAGTGGAGAATGTGTTATTATCATTAAAGGGGAAAACTATACTACTTACCTGAAGTGGAGAATGTGAGAAGAAGGTTACTTCTTCAGTTCCCACTTCAGGTACATTTATGTACATGTGGCTTGAGTCACATGATGAGTGCCACGTCATTCTCGGAGACTGCTGCAGGCGTCCAGGTGTCCCCGTGGGGGATCCCGAGAGCGTCTGCTGCATGTGCACGTGCTGGGCACAGCGGGAAGCCGTCCGGGGTGTGTGGGCCAGACGGGTCAATAGTACATCGATACAAAGGAAGATGGTCCATGTAGATAGAAGGAAATAAACAGGAAGAGGAAGATGAGAAGAATGAAATAAAGAAAGGAGAGGGAAGAGGGAAAAGGAAGGGGAAGAGAGGGAGGAAGGAGGAAGGGAGAGGGATGGACAGCGGGGAGTGGGTGTGGTGTGGCCGGGTGGGTCCGGGTGGACCCAGGTCAGGCGGGTGTGCCCTGACATCACCCCCTCCTTAAGCCGCTTCGCCTCGAAGCGGCCAGGGGGTTCGTTCTCTCCCTTCCTGGGGCGTGGGGGTGTGTTTGGTGGAACTCCTTGATCCGGTCAGGGGCATGGATTAGTTGGTCTCGGGGGAGCCATTCATTCTCTGAGTTCGGCCAGCCTGCGAACTTTACTAAATACCAGAGCTTCCGGCATAACCACTTAGAGTCCAGTATTTTTTCCACTTCATATTCCTCCTCTCCATCTACAAGTTCCGGGCCCGGGCAGGGGTCAGGGGGTTGTTCTGCAATCTCGTCCGGGCGGTAGGGTCTTACATTCATCACGGATACGACTGGGTGAATTCCCTTTTGCTGTGCGGTGAGCTGGAGCTTGACAGCAGCCGGGGAGACGACCTTGATGACTTTGAAGGGGCCTAGCCACTTATGGTCTAGCTTCTTGGTCGGGCAGTCAGTCGTATAGTTTTGGGCGCTGAGCCAGACTCGGTCGCCCTCCTGGTACTTGGGGGCTGTCTCTCAACCCCGGTCATAGTAGCGGGCCATCTCGTCCACTGCGTGCTCCAGGGCTGCCTTCACCTCTTCCTGCATCTTCATCATCCTGGATGAGAAGGCGTCAGCGGCTTCTACCTCAGACGTACGTGTGGGCTCCATCCCCATCCTGGGATGCTGCCCGGTGTCAAGCTCAAAGGGGGTTCGATGGGTGGATGAGTGGACGCAGTTGTTGTAGGCAAATTCTGCCAGTGGGAGCCAGTCTGCCCAGTCATCCTGGTGGTGGTTGACGAACACCCAAAGATAGGCTTCGATTTCCTGGTTAACCCGCTCTGTCTGTCCGTCAGTCTGGGGGTGATAGGGCATTGAGGGGGTTAGCTTGACCCCCAGGAGATCTGCAAGTTCTTTCGAGAAGCGAGACGAAGGCGCTCCCTCTGTCGCTAAGGATCTCTTCCGGGAGCCCGTGGTGCTTCCAGATGTGCTCTAGGAAGAGCCAGGCGATACCAGCCGAGTCCACGGATGTCATGGTGGGGATTGCGTGGATGCGTTTGGACAGATGGTCCACTACAACTAGGATGGCATTATAACCCTTTGACTCTGGGAGCTCTCCCACCATGTCTACCGAGATTACCTGCCAACGGTGGGTGGGGACTTTATTTGGGGTGAGCTTCCCGACCTTCCGTGCGGGGAAGGATTTGATGCGGTTACAGGTGTCGCATCCACGTACGTATCGCCCGACATATTCTGCCATCTGAGGCCACCAGTAGTCACGGGAGACGAGCTCCAGGGTTTTCCATCGCCCTGGATGTCCCATCGCCCACACGTTGTGGTGTAGCCGTACCAGATCGTGGCGGAGTTGTGGGTCTTTTGGAACGTACACCCTGCCTCGGTAGAGGACCAACTCTCCCTGTCTCTCCCATTTGTCCGACCTTAGCGTCCCTTCTCCCAGTTCCCTCATGGCCTTCACCACCCGCTCATCATGATCCTTCGCTCCTCGTACCCTCTCTAGGATATCTGCCTCCTCACCTTCCACTGAGACTGCTTCTGTCGCATGGGCTTCGAACCAGGCCGGTTGGAGGAGGGTCAGCCCTTTGTTGTCATCCCTTCCCTTCGGGTGGTCAGCGCGGTGAGAGAGTGCATCTGGTTTCCCCATGAGCTCCCCTGGGTGGTGGACGAGGGTGAAATGGAAGCGGGAGAGGAAGAGGGACCATCTGGCCTGACGTCGATTTAGCCTCTGGGCCGTCCGAAAGTAGCCCAGGTTATGGTGGTCGGTGTAGATCTCGACCTTCTCCTCAGCACCTTCCACGAAGTGTCACCATTCCTTGAGGGCTCAGATGATTGCAAGCATCTCCTTATCGTACACTTCGTAGTTGCGCTCTACATCCATGAAACTTTTGGACATGAATGCTACTGGGTGGAACTCTCCATCCGGTTGGAGTTGGGAGAGGACCATGCCGGTTGCAAAGTTGGATGCATCGCACTCAAGCCTGAAGTGGCCATGGTCAGTAGGGAAAGAGAGGACGGGGGCTGTGGTGATGGCTTCCTTGAGGGCACGGAAGGCATCGTCTTCATCCAGGCCCCAGTTCCATGTTTGGGTCTTCCAGGTCAGCCTGTGAAGGGGGCGGGCCTTCTCAGAGAAGTCTCTGATGAACCGGTGATAGAAGTTTACGAATCCTAGGAAGGATTGTACCTCTTTCACCTTGGTTGGGGGGGCCAGTCGAGGACACCCTGGATCTTCACCGGGTCCATTGCGACGTTACCCTCCAAGATAACGAGGCCCAGGTACTCGATCCGGGTTCGCTCAAACTTGCACTTCTCTGGCTTAAGGAAGAGCCTCCTTCTCCTCAGCGTCTCTAGGACTTCTCGGACGACCCTCTGATGTTCCTCCAGGGTGGCCGTGAAGATCAGGATGTCGTCCATGTAACAGATGACAACCTCCCGGTCGATGAAATCCCTCAGGATGTCGTTCATCATGGTCTGGAAGGTTGCCAGGGAGTTACACAGGCCAAAGAACATCACCATGGGCTCGAACAGCCCCCAGTTGGTCGCGAATGCCGCCTTCCACTCATCTCCATCCTTGATCCGGACGTTGTTAAACCCCCAGCGTAGGTCTAAGGCTGAGAAGTATTTGGCATTGTGGAGGTGGG